GAGATGCCTATGTATATGTTATACATAGGTTTGATTACTGAGACTTGGTACAGTATCGATGCTTTGGCACATGTTACACATAGGTAGATAGCTGAGACTTGATGGTGTCCCGAGATCCCTGTGCATATATTATGTATACGTGGGGAGTGGAGCATTGTTAGCGTAGACATATGCCCGTGTACATTTTATGTACACGGAGAGACCGAAGACTTGGTAGAGTAACGAGATACCTATACATATCTTATGTACAGGTCGAATGGAAACTACGGAATACCCGTTTTTTTTTTATACACTTAGTGCCTGCGATTGACTATGCCAAGCACATATGAAGTCAATCGCTGTGGTGAAACCCACCAGAGCTCAAGGGCGCTCACTGTTTCAAATCCAGCACGCACGGTATGAAGCAGAAGCAACCACACTCACTTGGTGCTTGTGGTTGCTATGTTCCCATAGCAACACACCCGTGTGCGTATACAGTTTGGTATGTTACCACTGCATGCGGGTGTTGGTGGACTGACGGGAGAGTGTGAGCGTCTGGCCGCGTAGTCGTTTCTCGCTTCTCTCCCACGAATAACACACGCACTGGGCAGCCACAGAAGATGAGCTGTGTGAACATGTGTCCCACTCAGATACAGCACACGCGTACTATACCCACCGACGCACTCTTTCGCCAGGGCCCAGGCCAGAGACGACTAGGAAGGTGTTGCGTATGGTGCAGCAGGAGCTTTGGTCGTCATGGGAACGGGTGACGTGGGCAATAAGGACCGCATGCACGTATTCAAACACGAGGCGCTCTAGTTGGAAGTCCAGACCCGAGAGGCGTAGCGGTGTGGGACTGTGGCACACTTGGGGCGGTTGTGCTTTCAACACACCTCAATGTTGGTGGCGCCAACGCTAGATGCGTGACGTTGGCAAGGACTAAGGAGTGATGGAATCTTCAGTGTAGTAGGTAATCAGTGAAGTGATGTGAATTGCGTTCTAATTCGATCGGATGAGATTTGTTTTGACCTCAACGGATCACTGAATCCGCCTTCAGTGGAACATTATATGTTGGCGCTTAAGGTTTGCTATGTGAAAGATCACACGGCTCACGCACGAACACTGCATTTCACCTGTTGCAATGATACATACGTAATAGCTGTGAGGAGCACGGCTGGCATGTTAAGTTATCCCTATGATGCAATTACTACCGGTGTGAATGTAGTGTTTTATCATCCCAGTTACTGCGAGTTTGTAGGGGAAGATGAGCGGATTTAAAGTAAGTGTGTGTGGATTCCACTTACTATTTAAATCAAGTATAAAGTGATGGTAGGAAAGTCATTAAAGTAATTGAGTGGTGTACCCACTCACTATTACAAACAAGTATAGAGTGATGGTAGGAAAGCTTTTAAAGTAACTATGTGCTGATTCCACTCACTCTAGTTAAAACGAGTAAAGAGTGAAGGTAGGAAAGGCATTAAAATAATCGGGCGGTCGGCCCACTCACTATTGAAAACAAGTACAGGGTGATTGTAGGGAAGTTTTCCCATGCCAAAGCTTCAGATGGCCAGTAATACAAGTGAACCGAAGAAACCCGAATCCTGTCTGGGCGCTCGGCATGCTTAGAAAAGGGTTGTCCAGACTTCGAAATGTTACGTGCAAAGAATGCAGGCGTGTATATTTTATATTTACTTGGTGGACTTGGTCTATTAACGAAGTCATGGAAAGGAGTCTGGGCGAAGAGTCTTCGAGTATCCCGTACAAGTCGTATGGACTCGAAGGCAAAATAGTCTGCAACAGGCAGTACCATGTGCATCTACGCCGTCATTCGAACAGATGTGCCAATGTAGCTGTCTGTGGACGACATATATACCAAGGTCCCAGAGTTAGGCAATTACACTATACGTGGGTGGCGAGACGTGTAACTCTAAAAGATTTATTCATACGGATTCAGGGTAAAACAGGGCTGGTTTGCACTGGGGCCATCGCCACCTCTTCCACTTGGCGACCAAATAAAAACATACGCAACCATGTCTGAAGCGGATGTTATAATCGGGATATACACATGCGCTTTTCATTAGCTTTTCATTAGCTCGTATCATAAAGCATCTGGTGTATTTTTCTGTTGATTAGAGATCATCACAGCGATAGTTCTCTTGCACAGGGGCCTTAGTATCTCTTGTACGCACCGTTTCGTCTCCGTTTCGTTGTACTCGACCAAATGCCGGTAGATCCACGTCACCTTCTTGAACAGGGAGGCAGGACAAAGTCCAATCCATTCCCATTTAATCCCAAAGAGCCCCTACAGCGTCTCAGATCTCCAATCATAAACTTTTGATATAGCTGTCCGGTTGATGGCCTCTGTAACTCTGTTTCGCAAACTTGAAAGTACCTAATTTTGCGCAACACTTGTTTGCCACCTGATGAGCACCGCAAGACTTCAACCACACCCCTGTTAAATGCCTCAGATTGGATACGAGGCCCTTTCTTCACCCTGAAACACAAGGCGTGCCCAGTCTCTGCGTTGTAGTTCTAGATATCTTTGCGTCCACTACCGATTGCTGTCGACCTCTAATCTACCGTCCGGCCATATCCCGCGGTGATCACCCCTCCCAGAGACAAAGCACAGTGCCCCTCGGCCTGTGGGTCTCGCAAAAGCTGTGGTAACACTCGCGCAGTGACATGTGAGCCATGCATCCGATGCTTGATTGCCTGATTGCTGCATGCTGGTCTCAGCTATGTATGTCCGGCACAGTACTGGGCCCCAAAAGTGCCGCGTTTCAAAACGAGTTGCAAAAACCAAAACCAAGTCTTATCAGCGACCCTGTCAAGTTGGTGGGACATCTCGTTCAAATCACCGTGATACTGGCAATGTAATCTGTCTCCGCATTGTCATTTTATGCTCAGCGTATGCAATCTCGGTCACTAGAGCGATGTGTGTTCCTCCACCAGCATGACTTTGAACCCTACACTTGGGTTCCTCTCGTCATGGAACGGTCCACTTTTTGTCGGTGCATCATCGTGCTAGACATGATTAATTGCCGGCCAGAGGTCTCCTCTGCACGGTCCTTTGCTCAGTTTGTTGAGGTGCATCACAGTAGGTATGGGCTGTAATGTTCATCGAATACGTGGTGTTCTGTGTACTATTCATTAAGTCGTTCGTTTGCGGTTTGCCCCATGTCTTTCTCCGAATAGAAAGATACGTTCGCTCGTGTCTCGAGACTCGGTCGCAGAGACTGCTTTGTATCGACGTCCTCGTACTTGTAGCTGTGTGTATGCCATGCCCAGCCTGTGGTACTGCCGGCAATGCGTGTCTCTATGTCCGACCATTGTCAGTCCTTTTCAGGCCATGGTAGTTTGCTATCACCGCCTATCTAGTGTACCGACAACAGTTAGACTGTACGGGCCTCGTACCATCGATTTCAGTATACATCTGCGAGATGTGACATGTATTAGCTACATCGCTTCGCTTCGTATGTAACTATAACATAGTTATATCTCTCTGGACATGCTTCGTATGTAACTATAACATAGTTACAACTCTCTGGACATGTGTAATCGTTTTGTCTCTATGAACATGTGTGCATAGACGTATTGCTAGGTGAGCAGCCTCAGTCGCTGTCATTTCTATCCCGGTGTCCACTCTCATCGTACCTGATCTCCACATCCGAATCTGGCGGCATCATCTCGGAAGCAGCCAGGAGTAAATCGCAATTAAGCGAACTGCCATTCTTCTGTATATATATATATGTATATATATATATGCGCATGTGCGCATAATATACATAAATATGCGTATATGCGTGGATGAAGTAAAAATCAATTGATCAGTATGGTGCTTTAGTGGAAGAAACTTCCGAGAACGTGCCTTTAAATCACGTCTCACTCCATATTGCCAGATATGACTCAACTATACTGTAAGGTATCAGTCCAAGGTTCCCTACGTGGACATTGACCTCGGCACCGCATGGTAGGGAAACTCATACAAAACCATGGGCCAAGTGTTCGGACCACAGTCCGTTACTAGTAGAAAGAGTGCGTTTGGTATATGCCGAGAAACGATAGACACTTGCCCACATGTGACTATATGGACCAAGTTAGCCAACACAACACCGTCGACAACCTGGCCTTACCCTTTCCTGATGCGACTTGACACGTCTGTAGGCGTGGATTACGCCATCCGTATCGCTGCTTAATTCGGAATTAGAGTTCGAAAACTCGTCGATGACGATGCCCACTCTATCGGAGGAATAGGCATTTAGATCTGAAATGAATGTAAAATACATGTGATTAGTTTATACATAGGGGGCGCACCGCCAGTGTGATACTATTGGTACATTGGAAGAATCGGACCCACTAGTCTCTGTTTAAATAACATGAGATGAGGTTGTGATTACTGTGCGCGTATCCCAAGTAGCTGTATTTGTGTAAGAATTTATGTATGTATTTATATACGCATAAAAGACAACA